ATTTTTTCTATATATTTTTAGTTGTCCAGATAATTTCTTTCTACTTTTTTAGTAGAGATGGAGTCCCGCTCTTGCTCAGGCTGGTCTCGAATTCCTGAGCTCAAACGATCCTCCCGCCTCGGCCTCCCAGAGTGCTAGGATTATAGGCATGAGCCACTGCACCCGGCCAAAAACTTAACTTTTAAAATATACAGAAAACATATACATGGGGTGCACATTTTTCCTCTTGCCACAGACTCCAGTCTGGCTTGATGCAACACTGGTCTTTATTTAAAATTTGGATATTGTCTTCCTCATGGACTTTTTTTTTGCATTCACTTTGATCTTTAAAAAATATTACATTAGAATATTAGTTTTTGTAATGACTGGGCAAGCCCTTAATTTCTGTGCCCAAGGACAGAGCCTCACTGTCCTCGCCTTGCTCCCGGCCCTGCCGTCGACTACCCCTGCTTAAGCCCGGCCAGTCAGGGTCTCGCATCAGGTTACGGGTGGTGGGGACAGGGACACGGGACAGGGACCACCCCTTGCCCCCTTTCTGTCCTGTTGCACAGTCTGGCCTCCGATGTTGCAGTCATGCATTTCATCCTGCTTGCATATTTTCTTCATTGCTTTGCCCACCCTCCTGTGGACATCCCCGCTAACTCTGTGTCGTAACTGTGATGTCGGATGCTTGTCATCACCCGCTGGTCCAAACCCACGGAACGGACAGCACCGAGAGTCAATCCTAACGTGAACTACGAACTTGCGGTGAGGATGATGTGGCCATGGAGGGTCGCTGAATTGAACCAGTGCACCGCTCCGGGGGGGGTGCTGACAGCAGAGGGTGGCCGTGTGTGTGGGGACAGGGAACCCACGCAAACTTTCTCCTCGATTTTCTGAGAACCTAAAATTTACTCTATAAAATGAAGTGTATTTTTTTTTAAAAAGCACCAATTTTGGAGACTATGCTGTCCCCCACAGCCTAGCTTTGTGACCAGGGGCAGAGTGCAAGCTGCTGGGTTGAGACGGAATGAGAAAAAACGGTGAGGGGTCCTGGGTGGGGGGGTCCCTGCTTTCCTGGAACCAAGCCACCACCGTCCCTCACCTTTCTTGTCCGACAGGCTCACAGCCAGAATCTCCCAAGTGGTGATGGAGTCTTTCAAAAACACGTTCATGAGCTTCGTGGCCAGGCTGGGTGGGGGAGAAGTCTGGGTGTTAGAAGAAGACATCTAGCAGGGGGGGCGGGGCGGGTGTGGAAAAGCCCCAAGGGACAGGTTGGAAGGGGGATGGGGGTGGGCACATGTAGGTAACGCAATTCCTGATTTTTCTAGATTGGGCTGTGACGGGGCACGATCGTTCCAGAAAAGACAGGAGATTGCAGGTGCACGTGGGTGGGTTGAGTGGGGGGGGGGTTACCCCAGCCTCACCCATCTTTCGGTTGGTCCTTGAGCCCCTCTGGAATCATCGTCCACAGCCAGCTCTCCGGGAAGTAGCTTCGGGAAATGATGTGTTCTTCTGGGATGATGTCCTCATCCAGGTCGCCTGCAGGAGGTTTAGATCGGCATTTAGAACAGGTCCTTGCCGCAGCATCCTTAGACCCTATCTGTGCCCTGGAGGGATTCCTGACGGTGTGATAAACTTGTGACCCCGCCCCCAGGCACATTTGCCTTTGGTGGCACCTTCCTCCACAAAAAAAAAAAAAAAAATTAAAAATTATATTTCACAACTGTGCTGGTACAAAGACAGGTAGAACACAGGGTGGGTTATATTCATTTTTTCCTCCCTCTGATTTTTAAAAAAATGAAAGCATTTGTGTGCGCCTCTGAAAGGGTCACGGTCCTGAGACACTGGGCATTCCAGCCTTCAGCCTGGGCAGCAGAGCGAGGCCCTGGCTGAAAAACAAAATAAAACGTCCCCCCAAAACAACCTGGCAGTTGCACTGGACGAGGGTTCAACCCTGGCTGAGTCTCCCTCGAACGTGATGGGCAGATTTTAACTGGGTTCTGGAGTCTCTATAACAACAAAGTAGGTAGAATTCCACAGATGCCTAAATCCACCTATACTCTGAAACAATCCATCAAAGTGCCTTTGGGTAGTAACTTTTGGGTTTTTTTTTTTTTGAGACAGGGTCTCACTCTGTCACCCAGGCTGGAGTGCAGTGGCAGGATCAGAGTTCACTGCAGCCTCACATGCTTGGACTAAAGTCATCTTCTCCCCTCAGCATCCTGAGTCGCTGAGACTACAGGTGAGCACCACCAAGGCTGGCTCATTTTTAAATGTTTTGTAGAGGTGGGGTCTTGCTATGTTGCCCAGGCTGATGTGGAACTCCTGGCCTCATGTGATCCTCTTGCCTTGGCCTCCCAAAGTGCTGGGATTACAGGCGTGAGCCACTGTAAGATTCCAATATTACCGTCTTCCCCCCTCAGACAGGGAATCCTCCCTCTTCAGGCCGCCCGCCCACCCCTTCCCCCCACGTGTGACCTACTCCTGGCCAGGCCCAGCGGCCTGAGCCGCGCGTGCTGCCGCCTGAGCTCGGTGATGTAGTTGCAGCAGTCCAGGAAGGCCTTCACGCACGACGCATCCAGGGTGATGAACCTGGCCCTGCGCTGGCACGAGAACCGCATGGGATTCTCCCGCATGCCGTCCTCACAGCACTTGCGCAGCTCCTTGGAGTACTGACCCACTGTGGGAGCACAGTCCCCCCACGACAGACCCTCAGCTGGGTGGCTCGAAGCAGGAGGGAGTCAGGACAGACCCCAGGGAGAACCTCCCCGTGGCCAGGCCCTCCCTCCTCCCTCTCCGGCTCCTCCGAGGTCAGGCTGGGCCCGTCCCGGATCCCACCTTTGTCCATCCTCTTCTCCATGAGCTGCACGGAGCGACGGCGGCGGGCGGCTGGCTTCGGGCACTCAGGATCTGAGGGACAGGCGGAGCGAGAACGAGATGGACGTGGCCCCTGCTATGTGCCCTGGGTCTACTCCTCACCATAGCCGTGAGGGAGGTGTGTTCTTATTCCCATTAGACAGATGAGAAAACTGAGGCTCAGACAGAAGTGGTTCACCAGTATGTGGTGGAGGCAGGACTCAAATCCAGGTGTCCGGACCCCAGAGCCCAGCTCTTAGCATCTGGGAGGTGGCGGCACTGCCCCTCCCTGCACCAGCCGCCGGCCATGTCCTCACCTCCCCTCTGAGCGGTCTCCTGGCCTTTGCTGGTCTTGAAGGCCAGCCCTGCATCGGTGAAGACGCCGGCATAGTCCTTCCCGCTGCCCGGGGTGCAGCCGATGTCTGCCTTCTCCACCACGTCCCAGATCTGCGGGAGACAGGCCAGGCTGGCAGCGCCACCTCCAGCTCCCCAAGACATCCGCCTGCGTGGCTCTTCCCACACCGGGCCATCCCATCCTCACGTCCCCACTCTGCACGGCCACCTCTCCCACGCCCACTGCCACCGCCGCCCCAGCCCTTCCCCAGCCCACCCTCCTCCCGGCCGGAACTCCATCTTTGTCCTCAAGCCCTCCCCACCCAACCCCATCTCCAACGCCCCCGTCACGGGCAACCCCATCCTCAAATCTATCCTCAGTCCCCTTCCCAGCGTCATCACCCCCTGTCGCTCTCTCGGAGCCGTGCCCGAGTTGACACTGGGCGTCCTCACCTCTGCCTTCAACCCCAGCCACCGTCCTGTCCAACCCGCTCCCAGCCCCGCCCCGCTGCCCTCTCTGGTCCCGTCCCTCTCCCTCTGCCGTCTTCTCCCCGGGCCTCGGGACGCAGGTGCGCACCTTGCTCTGAGTCAGCCTGTTCTTGCTGTTCAGCACAAACACGCCCTTGTCCACGGCCACCAGGCCCACTCGGGCCCCCAGGTCACCCTCTATTTTGAGGGTTATCTGCTGCCCAGGTGCAGGCTTTCGGTCATCCTTCCCGCCACTCTTCACCACCAGCTGTGGGGACGCGTGGAGAAGCAGGAGGGACGAGTCAGTGCTGCCGCGAGAGAAAGGAAAGACAGAGAGAGAGAGAGAGGGAGAGAGAGAAGGGGTGGGGCAGAAGGAGGGAGGGCCGGGACACGCCTACCGTGCCCACACAGGAGTCCTTGACGTCCACCCACACGGAGTCGGCCACCACCTCCCTCTGGCCATTGGTGCCCGGAAGGAAGGAATGAAGTCCTTAGTGACGGTCAGAGGCAGGACCACCAGGTCCTGGCCGGGCTCGTGCACCTGGCGCCCCACCTTCAGCAACTTCCCTTTGTTCATGATCTAGGGGGACAGGAGTAGGGCATCAGGCTCGGTGAGTGACAGACAGGGTGTGGGGGCAGAGATCTGGGAATGGGGACGGCGGGCGGTGGGGGGGAGTGGGGGGTGGTCCCTGGGCGTGCTGGGGGAGCCAGGAGGAGCGGCTGAGGGCTGCAGGTGGCCGCGGACCAGGTAGGTGTAGTAGCGGATCCTGGCGTCCAGGCCGGGGTCGGCGCGCAGGTGGAAGTTGATGTTGAGGGTCTCGCCGGGCTTCAGCTCGACGCGCGGCACCGAGAGGTGCAGGTAGTTGTTGGAGTTGCCCACGGTGCTGTAGGGCTGCGCCTGCATGGTGTTGGTGGCCTGCTCTGCCTCCGAGATGCCCTCCTTCTTCGTGCGCACCTGGGCGGGCGGGGAGAGAGGGATGCGAGCTTTCGACCCCCAGCCCCTCCCCAAAGATGCCCACCTCCTCGTCCCTGGGACCTGGAAATATGTGGCAAAAAGGGATTTTACAGATGGGACTAAGTCAGGGATTGTAGGACGGGACCGTTCATAAATTTGTGTGAAGTCACCAAATGGCGGTCATCTGTCGCAGCAGCCGCAGGAGACGCGTATACATGCTAAGCATTGCGAGGCAGATCTTCCAGCAAGGGGGCGGGGGAGAGGGACCCGGGGACACCCGTGCGCCTTTGCAGTGTGCGCGTGAGCCTCGCTTCCCTCCCAGAGAGGCGCAATGCAGCCAGGTCCACAGAGGCCAGGAGAACTGAGCCCACCGCGCCCACGAGAGCAGGAAGACGTGTGTGCGGCTGGAGCACCGCTCTGTGCAAGGGGAGCACCCAGGCGCGCCAGTGTAAGAGCCTCCACTGTCTCAATGGGGACCCTCTGCAGACAGCAGGAGTCCCCTGTGCAGAGGAGAAGCCCTCTATGCAGATGAAGATATCTCCATGCAAGTGGCCAGAGCCCTTCATGCAAACAGCCACTGCGCACGCAGCAGGCCCCCTCTGCACCGTCCTCCCGGCTGGGCTTGGGAGGCCGGGCCGAGGCTCACCGTGATGCTCAGGGGCTGCCGGGTGTCTTTCGTGTTGATGGTCAGCTTGGCCACGCCATCGTCCTGGGTCTGAGCCTCCACGTTCTCGTGGCCCTGGACCACCACGGGGACGCGGCGTGCGGGAGAGCCGTCGGGGTTGGTCACGTACACCTGTGGGTGCAGGGGGCAGGTGGAGGAGGTTTGGGAGGATTCAGAGGTGTGCCTGGGGCTCCAGAAGAGGGGACTGGGGCCCCGCCCTGGGTCTCACCATGAGGTCAAAGGGCATGGCTGGTTTGAAGTACTTGGCTGTCTTGGTGAAGTGGATCTGGTAGGGGGAGGTCACGATGGGGATCCCACTGCGTTCCGCCTGCACCATGTCGCTGCCTGAGGGGACCGGCCATGAAGGTGGGCTCCTGGGCCACCCCTCAGGACCAGGCCTCCTCCCTCAAACTGGACCCTGCCTTCAGACTGGGCCTCACGTCTCAGAGTGGGCTTCCCCCATCAGACTGGACCCCGCCCTCACTCTGGGCCTGCCTCCCCCATCAGACTGGACCCCACCCTCATACTGGGCCTCCCTCCCCCATCAGACTGGACCCCACCTTCACTCTGGGCATGCCTCCCCCATCAGACTGGACCCTGCCCTCATACTGGGCCTCCCTGCCCCATCAGACTGGACCCCGCCCTAACTCCGGGCCTGCCTCCCCCATCAAACTGGACCCCACCTTCACTCTGGGCATGCCTCCCCCATCAGACTGGGCCCTGCCTTCACTCTGGGTCTGCCTTCCCCCTCAGACTTGGCTTCCTCCTCTGCCAGGGCCTCCCTTCCCAGACCAGCCGGCAGGGGGTCCTGGGCCTCACCTGAGTGCAGGATGACAGTGACTGACACGTACAGGGACTTCCCCACCAGGGAGTCGGCCCCGGAGGGCTGC